GCAAGAGACCATTTTGCGTTGTTGATTGTGACAATGTATGAAGAGCCAATCTTTCTGAAAGCAATGGCAAAGTACTGAATGGAAAATTGCCTTGTAAAACTGAACAGCGCAAAAAAAAAAGTTGTTCTTGGTTTGCCAATGCCGTGTACAGGATACACAACTAAATTTTTTAATGCAGGAGACTGCTTAAAGTTCCATGCATAAAGCAAATACAAATTTACCCTTTGGAGACAAACCTTTTTTGGAGTTCAGTGCCAAGAAGACGGTCTTCAGAAGTGGATTACAGGCGAACGAAAGAAGAAGAAGAAGAAGTGGATTACCTTGATTTTCACACACACACACAAAACCTTTTAATTAACAGATATAAACCTATATATATTCTGTAGGAAATTGAATGAACTAACACAATCTTTGTGAACAATGCTGACATTCAGCAACACCTCAATATTTATTCAAATTAGCTATGCTAATTTGCATATTTATGCATGCATTGTTTATTTTTACTTAGGACAAACCTGACTAAATTTAACAACGTGGGTAAATTTTCTGATGAATGAAGCCTGAATAAGTCCTAACACTTGTGTTTTGGGAAACAAGGAATATGTAGGCCCTTTAGACATCTCTGGCACATGGTTCTATTCCTTTTCCTGCCTCCTGCAATATTCTGGTTGCTATGACGCAAGTCCTTTTCACCATTTCTGGGCATCAGTAAAAATCCCCCCCCCCCCCCCCAATTCCCACAAAAAAATTGATGTAAAATTAGTAAAATTACAGAACCTAACAAACTTTCATAAAAGGTAATACCATACTGGACCTGTGTATTTACTGGCCTGTTAGCACTCAGTGGTGGTATGCTTAAAATCAGATTGGCCGCCTTTACTTTCCAGAACATTCTGTGATGCCCATTCTGTAGAGCTGGGGCTTAGGCGTTGCGAACGTGCTTCATAATGCCAGGGTGCCAGGTCTGATTTCAGCTGCAGGAGATATTTCGCCTGGCATTGGTTTTGATTGTGGTATCAGGAGCTGACCGTTCAGAAGCACTGGCAAACTAGTGAGCATGAAACTTGCCTAGAAAAACCACAACAGCCATAAATTGCTGGGGTTGGTTCTGCAAGAGCTGGAGCCAAGGACAACTGTTAATAAATCCCTGCTAACCACTGACTGTACAGAGAAATACACAACAGAAAACCAGCAACATAAATTACCAAATAGGGCCACTTTTGAGGCATCAAAATATCAACACATACAACAACAAAAACAGCTGATAAATTAGCTATTCCTACCAACTGCATGCAATCAGTGTCAGACATGGACAGTCCTAGAAAAACATAAACACAAAATTACAACATGTGAGATCAGATGTATATAAAATGTGGCAGGAAAAACAAGAAAAGATGCAGTCACCAAGAAAGAACTAAGAACAATGGCAAGCCAGAAGTGGTAAATGATTTACAAGAACACCAAAGAATCAAAAGGTTTGGTCAACTGGTCAGAATGGAACCAAATCAGCCAGCAGCTAGAGTGTACTACATGAGAACAGCAGGCTCAGGTCAAGAGGCAGACCAAGTACTTTTAGTGTAAATATATTTTTTCCCTTGTAATGTCTTAGTTTGAGTATTACTCTATTCTGTGTGATGTTTGATTATTCAACGGATCAACATCATGGCACTTCAGCCTGAGTCTGAAGAATCTCAGCGCATTGCATGAACTCTGTTGTACCAGCGATGATCCTAAAATACTTTGGGTATATATTTTACTCCGAATTTTGCCCGGGCAGTGCCGTTAAGCTACTCTTTTTGATTTTCAACTGCCAAGGGATTTTTTACGTGTGCAACAATACACATGGGCGTCCAGTCTTACTACTAAGGGACCAGGGAAAATGACTAGCAGTCTACGTGAAAAAATCCCAGCCTTCACGGGGACTTGAACCCAGAACCTCTAGCACTCGAGGCGAACACCATGCCTTGAGAACACACAGCCCCCTCCTGTGTGATGGAGAACCATATAGCTGGGGCATGTTGATACAATGCCTGCACACTTTCAACATGTGTGTTTTACCAGTGCGCATGCATGCATGTCTGCTTGTATGCTTGTATGCTGCTTTCTTTGACAAGTCAAGAAATAGCACTACCAAGATTTCCTTATGCACCATTTATATTTTTTCAGTCTAAAATGAATAAATAAATATTTTAGTCACAGTTTGTGTACAACTTCCAATTTTAAACACAAACACAATTTGCAAAAACTTGTCTTACACGCAGAAAAATTATGTATATTTTCTCCAGTTACTTTTTAGCTTCAACCATTGGTCTCTGTGTGTGACTGCAATGTGACAGTTGATTCCATTGGTCATGACTGTGTCTGAATATGTCAGCAATGTGTAACTGTTGATTCCACTGGTCAGGTTTGTATCTGTACTTGGCAGCAGTGTGTAACTTGATTCCATTGGTCAAGTTTGTATCTGTATATGACAGCAGTTTGTTAACTGTTTATTACATGGGTCAGGTCTGTATCTGTACATGACAGCAATGTATAACTGACTCCTTGGGATCCTCACTGGAGCTATGGAGTTCACGCTTTGTACGGCACTCTCAGAAGGCAGCTAGCTGTTCTGTGGAGCGAGAGAGACCGAGCCATATGGGAACCCGCTGCAAAGAAGTTCATCCTCTCGACTTTAACTACTAATTCCATTGGTCAGAACTGTTTCTAGATATCAAAGCAATGTGTAACCGTTGATTCCATTGATAAAGTTTGCATTATTTATGAAATCAGTGTGTAACTACTGATCCCATTGGTCGGAACTGTTTCTGTATATGACAGTAATGTGCAACTGTTGATGTAACTGCTACGGGTCAGGTTTGTATCAGTGATGTATAACTGTTGATTCCATTGGTCATGTTTATATCTATATATAAAAGCAATGTTTAACTTGATTCCATTGGTCAGATTTGCATCATAAATTACAGCAATATGTAACTATTGATTCCAGAGGATTGATCCTCTGTATGATATTTGTATCTATATATACATATATGACAGCAGTATGTAACTTTTGATTCAGCTGGTTATGTTTACATCATATACGTATGACAACATTATGTAACTATTGACTTCATTGGACAGATTTGTATTATATAAGACAGCAATATGTAATGGCTGTTTACAATGACCAAACTTTGTATCTGTATATCACATAGTTAGTTATGTTACTGCTAGGCTGCAAGAATATTTGACTAAATTAACATTGTAATTCAGTTCTGTGATCTGCATTTGTTTCACAAATAATGTTAACAATTCAAAGTGCTTTCTTTGTTTGTCATGAAATTGCTGTGTACCAATGTGGTTGAAATAAACACATTCTTGTTCAACTTCAGCAAATTATGCAACTTTTATAAATATGAGAATGTCTGTGATGTAAAAGGATGTTTTTTCCCCCCTCGAGTGTAAAACAATCATGCCCATTCTGTGTTAACTGGGCATAACTAAAAGAGATGTAGCCTTGTTACAAGTTTTTGAAAACAAAGTCTTGCGATGAATCTTTGGACCCATCAAAGATGCCAACAGTGGGGAATGGAGAGTGAGAAGCAAAATGAAATTCATAAGCTGTTTATATTACCACTGATCAATGGCATCATGAGAACCAAAAGACTGAAATGGCTGGGGCATATTGAGAGAATGTCAAATGACAGAGAGGTAAAAACTGTATACACAAGGGAGCTGAATGGTCGTAGATCACGAGGCAGACCAAGAAGATGAAGAGATAACGTCCAAACAGACCTGCAAACACTTAGTGTCACCAACTGGAAAGAGAAGGCCAACCAGAGAGATAAATGGAGTTGGGTGATATCTGCAGCAATGAACCTCAAGGGCTCAAAACGCTGAAGAAGGCCAACCAGAGAGATAAGTGGAGTGGGTGATATCTGCAGCAATGAACCGCAAGGGGTTGGAATTAAGAAGACCAACCAGAGAGAAGAATGGAGGCAGGTGATATATGCAGTAATGAATCTAAACGACATGGAATGCTGAAGAAGAAGAAGATTATGTGTCAATTATAATCAAACGTCTTGTGCCATTAGTGAAATGTTCAAGTCAGGCTGCTCTCCCACATCCACCAACCAGCACACAGATACTGTGTCATACTTGTTATAATAATCTTCACTTTTCAGCCGAACAAATTTAATTTCTTATAACACTTTTAGCAAAGATGTTTCTTGGTGCTGACTGGGATTGCCTTATGCTGTAAGAGGGGGAACTAGTCACTATACTTGGCTTGTTTTACTGCATCACAAGTTAAATTTCTTCATTCGATTTACCATCTTCTGAGAAGGTTGTTCCCAGACAGTGAAACTCAGATGCCTTTTTCTTCTTGGTGTTCACGGACTGTAAAATCCCTGTGTGGTTTCTGGAGAAACACAAGAATAGACTAATATGGAGCTTCCCTCAAGGTCTGAGTACATCTGCCTGAGAGGCAGGGAACCAACAGTCTGCATGCAAATAAGTCAGACCTGTGAAACAAGATATACATGCAGCACTCAGGTTCTGGAACAGGACTGGAGTCCAGAAGTGGACGAACAACCAGAACTTTCTGCTGGAGTTTGCAGCCGGTGGAAGCGAAGAAGACTGGCTGTAAACTTCGGCGTAAGGTTTTAGTTGTTTGTCCACTTCAGGAATCTAGCTCTGTTCCAGAACCTGACCTGATTTATGTATGCAGACTGTTGGTTCCTTACCTCTCAGGAAGATGCACTCTGACTTCAAAGGCAGCTCCCAATGAGTCGACTCTCATGACATAATTGCTGGGGAGGCAATGGGTTATCTTGCCCCCCCCCCCCCCCCACAATGGGACCCTGGAACTCACACGGGAAGGTTGGGTAATAACCTTTGCTCTCTATTGCTATACATAATTTCTGCACAGATAATTACCCAATCAAACAGCAGACAAATAAATCACACAAATGCAAACCATTTTAAAAAGAGACGTTTAATATATAAAGAAAATAAGGTCAAAGGCCACCACCAAATTCTGACACCCACAGCTTGAAAGTACGATCGTAGGAACTTGTGGCGATGTACTTGAGGTCACGAGAGATGTCAAGACCCATAACTCTGCTCTCATGTCCTGCCAGAGTTTTGAGTGGTGCCCAAGTGGGATGTGCCCAGATCTGAAATACAAACACATTACTCAAATTTGTGGTTGCAACAGATAGAGTGCTAATAAAATTCTTGTTTGTGGTTGCAACAGACAGAGCTTCTTGTTTGTGGTTGCAATAGGCAGAAATAACATAACATTTTTGTTTGTGGTTGCATAGATAGAGATTGCTAATAGAATTGTTGTTTGTGGCTGCAACAGATAGACTGTTGTTTGTGGTTGCAATAGATAGAGCTAGATTATAGAATTCTTGTTTGTGATTGCAACAGATAGAGACTGCTAACAGAATTCTCGTTTGTGGTTGCAACAAAGACTGCTGCTTACAGAATTCTCGTTTGTGGTCACAAAATAATTAGGATACAGCATGCAAGAGAAATTAAACCTGGAAAACCACTAAAAGATATGGAACAAAGTTAAATGCACCTAAAAACAAAAGTCTGAGGAAAATGAAATGAACATGAAATGGGATGTATTCTAGAGGGCTGAAGAAATAAATGTCTGAGCAACCACTGGTAACAAAAGCTGTAAGACAGAAAAGATGGTGCTATACTGAAATGGAAACAAATGAACTGAGGAAGGGAGAATGTCCAGAAGACCAGAAGAAACCTTAAAATGAACACTGCTGAGAGAGGCCAAAGTGCCGGACTGGATTCCATCCATGATATCAAAGGAGCGGCACAGGATAGAACAGAATGGAGAAAGAGGCCGCAAGCTCTGCCACACTTAGTGCCCCTTGCATACACCTACCACACATTGCAAGCTCTATGTGACACATAATGGCATAACAGGACAATGAATGCAGGAACAGCTCTCATCAAATTTGGAAATCTGTGTCAGTTACAACTAATTTAGATTACCATGCTTTACGTACCACTACCATACTTCATGCACCTAACACCCTTCACGAGACTACAACATCTCCTACGCCCATCACAAATCACGTATCTATCGCACACTGGACATAAACACATCACGTACACCTGCCACACTTAGTGCCCCTTGCATACACCTACCACACATTGCAAACACATACCTCTTACACTCTGCACACACTGAACATACAGCACATCTCACACACCTGCTAAACCTTACACACAGATTACATACACAACACCTCAAACACCTACCAAACCTTACACACACTGCAAACACACATCTCATACACTGAACATACACCACACTTTAAACACCTACCAAACCTTACATACCTACCCCACACTGCAAACACACATCTCATACACTGAACATACACCACACTTTAAATACCTACCAAACCTTACACACCTACCACACACTGCAAATACACATCTCATACACTGAACATACACCACACTTCAAACCTTACACACCTACCACACACTGCAAACACACATCTCATACACTGATTTATCTACCACACACTGCAAAACACACATCTCATACACCTGCCACACACTGCAAACACACATCTCATATACCACACTTCAAACACCTACTGAACCTTACACACTGCAAACACACATCTCATACACTGATATACCTACTACACACTGCAAACACACATCTCATACACTGATATGCATATCATACACTGCAAACACACATCTCATACACTGAACATACACCACACCTCAAACACCGACTAAACCTTACACACCTACCACAGACTACAAACACACCTCTACTGATATACCTAACACACACTGCAAACACCTCTGATACACTGATATACCTACCACACACTGCAAACACACATCTCATACACTAATATACCTATCAGACATTGCATACACCTCAGACTTACCCCACATAGGAATCACACATGTCACACACTTACCAAACCTTCTACACACATCCAGGCTGTAACACACCTTGTACACCTACCATACACTGCACATACGTCACATTTTGTATACCTATCTCACTTTCCACACATCAACTACACCTTACCTTTGCAGTCCCATCATACGAGGCAGTCACCAAATAGTTGCCACTGTGTGCTGTAAGAAACCAACCAATCAATTACTACCTAACCAAAGAATATTTTGCTACTTTGGCAAGATTTAAAAAAAAACCTGGCGACACACATTTGCACAGTATTTCCCTAAAAACGGCTAAACCAAAGGTTTCATTCAGTTATATGGTAAATCACAGTTCTAACTTCATAGCAAACAAGTTAAACTATAGCTGCTCTGCTCCTCGGCCAACAAAAACCATGCAAAATGTCCATCTCTGCGCTCTGTTAGGAGTTACCAGGGGATTTGGCCAATGCTCAACACTCAGGGGAAGGGGAAGACGGATAAATAATCAGATAGATACTAGTGCCATTGGAATTATAATTCTTCGTTTGTTGCTGGAGATGGGGACAGAGCACTTATGTGAGTGTGCAGAGTGCTGTGATGTTAATTCTTAATTCAACAACACTCAACATGCCCCTTGCGAAAACAAATGACAGAGGCTGCAGTCTTAACAAAGCCAATAGCATACACAGGCATTAAATGCATTAGGCAACTGTCAGAAGTGCCAACACAAACTGGCTGGCATCAGAAATACAGTTCATCATCGTTGGAAGCAGCAGTGACAATACAACATATTAGTAGTTGCACACACAATCAATGTTCTACATACCCTAGACCAGGGCCATTCAACTGGCAGCCTGCTGGCCAAATCTGGCCCATGAAGGTCTATTAAGTGGCCCGCGAATCACCGTAAGTTGTATTAATGATCTGTCTATACTGGGGCCCAGGCCTTCAGCCCGTGATAATCCCGATTTTCTCAATGTAGGCTCTTGAGTATACTTAGTTGAACAGCCCTGCCCTAGACAGCGACTGCATTTAACAAGTACTGCTAAGTGATCAGCAAAAGCTATTAACCCTTTTACCTGAAATAAATACTGAAAAATCAACACTTCTGGCTGGGTTTACCTCCGTCTAAATGTCACGTTTCTGACTTGTCTATAAATACCTTTGTATGAGATGCCTAGGTAATACTGCTGACTGCTACTGCACAAATGTTTAGGAGATCAGGATATGAATACATTAACTAAAAATAGCATAACAGAGCTTTTCCTTTGAGTTAAATGTTTTTTTTTTTTTTAAAACTAAGCTGACATCAGATTTTCCCGTGAGCCTCAGTGTTAAAGGGGTTATGACACGAGTCACCTGATACATAGATTTTTTGGCCTCTGGGATTTGTATTCCACTGAATGCTTCATCTTGGTTATGTTAACTGATTACTATAAAACAAATATACTTACATATTTTATTTATCGTGCAAAAAAAAAAAATCTCTTTAAGAATTCTTTTCTGGAATTCTAAAGGGGTTTTATTACATATAACTCATTTTATAAAATGCAGTTTTGACTTGTCCTATTCTGTTCTTTATCTCTGTGATACATCATCCATCAGATGTTATCCCTGTGCCTAAATACTGAAATTCCTAACAATGCCTTTGACGTTTATTATTCATTTAGTTCATGAACCATACAAGTTGAATTTCAGTCTAGTGCAAACTCTATAACAATGATATAGTCCACATGTAAATATCACAGTAAGATGGACGGGCAGCAATCTGAGAGAGCGTACAACCAGGACAAGAGATGGATGGGCAGCAGTCTGAGAGAGTGTACGACCAAGACAAGAGATGGACGGGCAGCAGTCTGAGAGAGTGTACAACCAAGACAAGAGGTGGACAGGCAGCAGTCTGAGAGAGCGTACAACCAGGACAAGAGAGAACTTGTTGGAGACCCATTGCAGCCAACCTTTATTGTGGAGATGGCACCTGATTGATTGACCACAAATGAAAAAAATTTTGCTTTTTGTCTGCCCTGGAGAGGTCGTCACAGACAGACATACTCACGCTGGAATTTAACCCCAGAGACGATGTTCGTGTGTGACGGAACGGTGTAAACACATTTCCTCTGTCTCAAGTCCCAAATCTTGGTTCCGTTGTCCTCGCTGCCAGTGGCTGCGTGGTACCTGTAACAAAGCAACCAAAATATTATCTACTTATCTGCCCTTTAAACATTACAATGTAAAGGGAATTGACAATTTAATCATGTCTGTTTAAAAACACAGTGAAGATCAAAACCTATTTGCGAATATAACAAAAACGAAAGTAACGTCCACAGACAAAACTGGTTGTCAACACACACAACTAGGGGTGCTCAGAATGCTGATAAATAAATATTGCTTTAAATAAGGTTTCTAATTTATGTCATTTCAAGAGGCTGTATGTACTGGTAAACAAACTAGGTCTTAGAAACCAGGACCAGAGAGATTTTTGCATTTACTCACCCATCGTCGCTGAAATCAACAGCTAGGATAGACTTCAGGTGTCCTTCCAAGAACATGACACATCTTCCAGATCTCAGATCCCACACCCTGCCGTAGGCATCTAGTCCTCTGTTTGATGTAAACAATTTATTAGAGACATTATTCAACATTCATAATTGATTAGACATATTTTGATGAAATTGTTAAGAAGAAAAACAAATACACATACAGATAGAAAGAGATACAGAGACAGAGAGACAAAAAAAAACCCACACAAAGCAAGAGAGAGAGAGAGAGAGAAAGAGAGAGAGAAAGAGATAAAGTGTGTGTGCATGAGACATAGACACTGAGACAAAGTAACACATAAAGCAAGAGAGAGAGACAGAAAGAGAGAGAGAGAGAGAGAGAGAGAGAGAGAGAGAGAGAGAGAGAGAGAGAGAGAGAGAGAGAGAGAGAGAGAGAGAGAGAGTTTGTGTGCTTAACAGATAGAGACAAAGTCACAGCAAAAATAAAAGGCTATAAATGAAAACCTTAAATATGTGATTGTATCCTATGAAAGCTCCCACTCCATTCACATGCTCATCAGAGACTGACAGGCATGCATTACCCTATTGGGCCTTCATTTGCTGATGAATTTCTAAACCCCCCCCCCCCCCCCCCCCCCATCAAAAAATGGAAAGAGAACACTAATTCTCTCTGATGCATGTCAAAAGTGGGGCGGCCATCTTCAAACTGTCATTATGACATTACCATTTTTAATCTGCACCATGATGTCACATACTTAATGTTCTTGATATCCTTAACAAAACACTGACAGATCACAGGACATTGGCACGGTTATTATCTTCTATCACTGGTAAGGTTTTCATTTAAAGCGCCTTCCAAATTAGCCCCATGAAGAAAAATACTAAACAAGAGAGGCAGAGAATGTGGAAAGGTTAAAAAGCTAGGCAGCAACAACAACTTCGTCAAAATATCAGAAAATTCTTCTCTGCTTTTCTTCTTCCCTGCCTCTTCTACGGCTTTGGGTGTTTGAGGGAGATAACAGATTTTTGAAAAAACACATGGCGCTGTTGTAGCATTTCTCTGATGTTATCTTCCCACACTGTTCTTGGTCTACCTTGTGCTCTAAGTCTTTCGCCTCTTCTGGTGTATGTCTTGTATGGTATGCTGTTGTAAGACATTCTTTGAGGTCAGAGTGCATTTGCCTGAGAGGTGGGTAACAAACAGTCTGCACACAAATAAGCCAGATCTGTGAAATGGGTGTGCATGCAGAGCTCAAGTTCTGGAACAGGACCAAGGTGCAGAAGTGACCAAACAACCAAAAGCATCTACTCAAGTCTACAGCTGGTGAATGCTAAGAAGAACGCAGTATGTAATGTAACACTGGTTCTGTACTTTTTCTCTTATGGCTTGATTTTTTATTCTCTCTTCTTTAAAAAATAAAAAAATAAAAAGAAGAAAGGATTGACTTTATTGCACCTGGCTTTTATTCCTTTTGGTTTGGCCTCTCTCCACAGAATGTCTAGCCGCCTGCCGAGAGCACTGCAAAAGCACAAACTCCGTGATCTGGTGACGATTCCCAGGGCTCTCTGTAAAAATTGCACTGTGAAACAAACCTACGAGGTTGTTCAGAGTGCGAGGCAAACATCTTGACCAACTTCCACAGAGACACCCATTAGGTTTTTCTGGCCACGCCTGCAACCATTCTTGGAGAGTAATCTCCTCCTTTTTTGCTCTTCCAAAACCTCAGTGTTGCATGCACATCCATTTTACAGATCTGACTTATGTTTATGCAAACTGTTGGTTCCCTACCTCTCAACAAGAAGAAGTATGCTTGCTTCCTACAAAAAAATAATACACTTCTAACGTTTACCGATCAAAATGGTGGATAAGCAAGTATACTGTATTTAGTCATGGTAAGTTTCTGCTTCTGACAAGCTAGCCGTTGCAGCGTTTTCCTCCATATGTAGACTGACAGGATACAGTCCCATCGCCCAGCAACTAAGCTAAGAGGATGACGCAACACTTTTAGCTGTGGATTTCATTTACAGTGCTCATCAAGTGTGAGTCGCTTGGTTCTTGTTGCGAACTGCAGATTCAGAAAATTGTGAGTTGCCTGTAGCGAGAGAACTGGTGGTGCCTTATGTAATTAACTGTATGCAACTACTGATCTAAGTGCTGCTTCCATCGATGATGAACTGCATTTCTAGTTTCTAGTGTCAGACTGTTTGTGTTGGCACTTCGTATAGCTACCTTATGCATTTAATGAATGTATGTGCGATTGGCTTTGCTGAGACTGCAGTCTGTGTCAATTTTTTCACAAGGGACAGCAATGGACATATCTATTTTTTCTGTAGTAACAGGAACGGTGCAACAATGTTTGCTTGTTTGCTGAATGTTGAAATAAGAATCAACATCACAGCACTCGGGACACTCCTATAAGTGCTCAGTCCATATCTTCAGCAGCAAGTGAAGAGTTCCAATTCCGATGATACCAGTAACCGTCTGATTGTATATCCATCTCATCCTTCCCCTGAGTGTTAAGCGTTGGCCAGATCCCCTGGTAACTCCTCGCAGCGGCATTCTCCTTAGACCATAATGATCTATCTGCGCCTCCGCACAATTCACTCGCTCCCAAAGGGCCTTCATGATTTCTAACTTGACATACATAAATTCCCAACAAGTGGTGCAGAGCCAGCCAGTCTATCTGCCTGCTAGCTTCCCAACACATCAGCATGACCTGGAGAAAATATATAAAGGATGCTAACTACCCGGGACCTCTGAAGTGATACTTGCCAATCTGCACGAAGCATGCCTGTTTTTACCTTTCTCAACATGCTCTGTGAGTTACTTTCTTGCTATGAAGATGGAACCGTGATTACCTTAATTCTAATGTTATTATCATAATTTCTCCCAAGGGCATCAGATATGACATTCTAGGACTCAAAATAGTTACAAAGGTGGTAAATCCAATTCATGAAACTTATCATGTAATACAAGAGTGAAAGCAGTAGTTACATTTAATCTACGCAACTCACCCGGTAACACACAGAGCACCATCTGACTGGAAGGCGATGTCAAAGACTGGACCGCTGTGTCCCTCCTGATGAAGAACTTCTTCCTGTACTTCTAGATCCCACAGACGCCAGGAGTGGTCGAAGCTTCAGAAACAATCATCACAAAAATAAAGCCTTAGTTCTGCAACTCAATTTCCCATGGGTAAATATTATATGTTATTTCTTCATGGGGAGTCACCGTGGCATAGCGGCTAGACACTCGCATGCGGGCCGGAAGGTCACGGGTTCGATCTCTGGCGGAGCCTGACTTTTTTCAAAAATGACCATTACTCCCAAGTCGACCCAATCTTGAGAGGGTACTGGGTGCAGTCCCGGGAAGTAAAGGTGGCTGGTGTGATGCTTACCCCATCACACATCTTGTGCCATTTGGACCTATATGCCTAAAGGCGTGGAAAAGGGTACAGAAATTTATATATATATATATATATATATATATATATATATATATATATATATATATATATATATATATATATAAGTTCTGTGTTTATTTTAGTGTTCACAGGCTGTAAACTCCAGCAGAAAGTTCTGATTGTTCATCCACTTCTAGACTTTGGTCTGATTTCAGAATTTAAGTTTGACATGCAAATCTATTTGATAGATCTGGCTTATTTGTTTGTGGGCTGTTGGCTCCTTACCTCTCAGGCAAATTCACTGCAACTTAGAAAAAGTCACTACTAAACATTCAAAAGGCTTGTTCAACTGAGGACAGAGGAATGGGTAAGAGTGCCAGCAGAGTGGTGTACATCTTTTGTCAGCATAAAACTAGACAGCAAATGCAAACAAGGTCCATTGATGGTTGAGACAGAAGTTCAAGCATTCATTCTTGAAAACTCTGCAGATGGGGGTGCAGTTATTGACACACTGACGGATCCAGCAATTGACACGTACAAAGATCATGGACTTTCATAGTTATGGTTCAAGGAAAAACTGTTAACAAAAAATAATGCTGCTTTTGCTTGACTTCAAGTGGTCTGACTATGGAGGTGATGGAGATAACAAAAGCAATGACGTGGTTAAAGACACATAGTTTTTCCCATGCATGTTTTCTAAGTGATTCCATCTACATGTCATTCTTATGAGGATCGAGATAAGATAGATTCAAAGAGAATTGTTGGAGTCTCTGAGGAAATCTCATCTGAAAGGAATCAGTTTCATCTTTGTACCAGGACACTCTGGGGTAAGAAGGAATGAATGGAGGATTGGTGTGCTGGCAGGGCCACAGTATGTGCAGGAATATATTGGACCGGGGTGACATTCTCAATGATCTTTAGAAGGCAGGACGAGATGATGATTTAAGAGATGATGGTGGATTGGTAACATTCAAAAGACTACAAGAACTTCAGATCAAAAGATGTGTCATCAAGAAGCCTAAGAAAAATAGCAAACCAACACAGAACTGGTGTTATCAGTCACCATAAGCTGAGAGGTATACTGAAGAGGGGTATACTGAAGATGGGTATAGTGAAGATGGGTATAGTGAAGATGGGTATACTGAAGAGGGGTATACTGAAGAGGGGTATACTGAAGAGGGGTATACTGAAGAGGGGTATACTTAAGATGGGTATACTGAAGATGGGTATACTGAAGAGGGGTATACTGAAGAGGGGTATATTGAAGAGGGGTATACTGAAGAGGGGTATACTGAAGATGGGTATACTGAAGAGGGGTATACTGAAGAGGGGAATACTGAAGATGGGTATACTGAAGATGGGTATACTGAAGATGGGTATACTGAAGATGGGTATAGTGAAGATGGGTATACTGAAGATGGGTATACTGAAGATGGGATTCGAGCACGTGTGGACTTGTGGAATGTGCAATGAGGATCACCTGCCGATTACCTAACTAATTAATAACTAACTACCTACCTAACTACCTACCTACCTACCTAACTAACTAACTACCTACCTAACTAACTAACTAACTACCTACCTAACTACCTAAGTTCTAATTAGTCACATACTACAATATGCTTGTCACAGGGAGGGCACTGGGTTTATTCTTTAACTCCCACAATGGAGCCCCTGAACCCACATGAAGACCAACAGCTAGATATGACCAAGACCCTCTGGCAGCAAGGGAATAAACTGGAAGCACCACCTGGATCACTAAAGTCTGAAGAGAATGGTTCCACTGGAAGTGACCAGGTCTATCCAGCCGACCTTCCTACACTCAGAGTAAAGGCAAGATGCACATATAAACCAATACGGGTACTATTGGAAATGGAACACTGTGCTGGCTACTGAAGATGGGGATCAAACACTTATGGGAATTTTACACAAACACAAAAATACTTTAGATTACACCCACTGGTTAAGCCCAAAATATTATAAATAAATATTTTAGTCTCAATCCATGCATAAGAGGACCCCCCCCCCCCCCCCCCCCCCCCCCAATTGAAAACTTAAAAACGTTTGGGAAACCCCCAACTCAAACACTGGTAAATATGGTAATTTTTGCACAGGACAAAGCGATACACAAGGGGACAACACTCTACCAGCAAGTGGCCAAGAATCTTCCAGACGGATGGTATTTGACTCGAGATACTCTATAAGGAGCATGACCTTCAATATCTGCAATAGGCTCCTCGCTGAGAAAAGATAAACAAGAAAAAATATATTAATAAACAAACAAGATAAACGAGGACATTAAGTAGACTGGACATCCTTCAGGAGAATGAGATTTACTCATAAGTCTTATGCACAGAAATTAACCCTTTCCCCCCAGATTAAAGACAAAATTTAAATGCCCGTTTGGATTAGAAAACTCATGATAAAATCTTGTAACACATTAAAGACAACTCTAAATGCCCGTTTGGATTAGAAAACTCATGATAAAATCTTTTCACACATTAAAGCCAAATATAACTGCTAGTTTGGACTAGAAAACTCATGATAAAATCTTTTAACACATTAAAGACAAATATTACTACCAGTTTGGATTAGAAAACTCATGATAAAATCTTGTAACACATTAAAGACAAATATAACTGCCAGTTTGGATTTGAAAACTCATGATAAAATCTTTTCACACATTAAAGCCAAATATAACTGCTAGTTTGGATTAGAAAACTCAAGATAAAATCTTTTACACATTAAAGCCAAATAAAACTGCCTGTTTGGATTAGAAAACTCATGATAAAATCTTGTAACACATTAAAGACAAATATAACTACCAGTTTGGATTAGAAAACTCATGATAAAATTTTGTAACACATTAAAGACAAAAATAACTACCAGTTTGGATTAGAAAACTCATGATAAAATCTTGTAACACATTAAAGACAAATATAACTACCAGTTTGGATTAGAAAACTCATGATAAAATTTTGTAACACATTAAAGACAAAAATAACTTCCAGTTTGGATTAGAAAACTCATGATAAAATTTTGTAACACATTAAAGACAAATATAACTGCCAGTTTGGATTAGAAAACTCATGATAAAATCTGTTAATACATTAAAGACAAATCTAAATGCCCGTCTGGATTAGAACTCCCCGGGTGGCATTGAACCTTACCTCTCCAAATTCCACAATTTGACGGTGCCATCCTGGCTACATGACGCCATGCAGCACAGGCTGTTGTCTAAGGTCAAGGTGGCTTGTGGGTGGAACACTATAGCTCCAACGTTGCAGTTGTGACCTAAATCAAGGAACAGAATATAGCAAATAGTCAACACCATCATATGCCGTTATTAAGCGTCATCCCACATGAACACCAGAATCATGGATCAAGTCAGTGATCTAGATATTCTATATGGTAAAACCATTTAGGTATTTATTTCTTTGTAACTAAATTCTTTAATCAATTACCTCTCATGAGATGACCGAAAAGCACAGACTTTCTAAGTCTAATTTCTTTAACAAGTTTACAGTTTTCTTCTGCCTCAAAGAGGACCTGTGTTCTTCTATCATGCCACAATATTCTTTGCACTCTTCAAAAACTACATCCCTGGTTGAGTGAATATTTGTCAGCGTATCTGCTTACTGACCATGTCTCACATATACACAACAATACAGGTTTTTTTTTATACCACTTGAAAAGTTTTCTCACTGCAGTTCTCTTTCTCACTCATGCACACACTCATTTATAAAAAGGAGGCCAAAACAAGGGTCTTAGACTGAAATGAAAAAAAAAAAAAAAAAAAAAAGTAATGACAACCACACAAAAATGCAACATCAAAGTAACTGGGTCAATTCTGAAGTAAGTTGATAAATTCAAGTATTTGGGTACCCTGATAACAGCAGGTGGAAGAACATATCAATGAAGTTAAATGTAGAACAGCTCAAGCAAAGGCAGAATTTAACAAAATTAAAAATATTCATGCAATCTTTCCTTGTCAGTTAGGTTATATGTGCTGATGAAGGCTCAATAGCTTCAATGTTCATGATTTGTTTGTATTTGTTATACTGTGAAGCTTGCTAATATACTTTTCGTTCAGTTAGAGTGAGGAGGTATCCTCAAGAGCTATATAATTTCAGTCACGATATACAGATAAATCATTGACAGCCAATCAGTGAAAGATTACATGGAAGCGGCAATGATGAGGTTTCACAGATAAATGATGAGTTAACCATGGACAGATGAAATGAACAATGAAGATGTCTTGACAGAAATTTAACACATTGAAAGAATTGATTATCCACATCAAAACGAGATAATCTATATTCTTTGGTCATGTCACAAGAAGGAGAAATCTGGAGTACATCATGTCATTGGGGAAAGAGGCAGGGAGAGACCGAGAGACGCTGGACAATTTGACATCACAGCATTAAAGTTAAATCATCTGTGTCAGAAATGACTGAAAGTACATGCGACAGAAGGTTGTGGATAGACATGACTATCAACACCACAAGGTATGGAAGATCATCAGAGTCAGAAATGAATGAAAGTACAGGAGACAGAAGTTTGTGGACAGACATGACTATCAACACCACAAGGTATGGAAGGTCATCTGTGTCAGAACTGACAGAAACTACAGGAGACGGAAGGTTGTGGACAGACATGACTATCAACGCCACAAGATATGGAAGATCATCTGTGTCAGAAATGACAAAGTACAGGGGACAGAAGGTTGTGGACAGACATGACTATTAACACCGCAAGGTATGGAAGATCATCTTTTTCACAATTGACAGAAAGTACTTGAGACAGAAGGTTGTGGACTGACATGACTACCAACACCAGACGGCATGAACTATAAAATGCAGCAATTGCACATTTGATAACCTACTGTTTTATTTGCTTTCACAAAGATTAAAAGTAACAGACCTCTCAGATTACGTATATGGCTGCAATCCGGTATCGACCACAGCTTGCACAATCCGGACCTGCCGTAAACAAATAAAAAAAAAAAGTTCACACAATTTTAAAATAAATATGTAGAATGAAATAAAGTTGCAAAGTTGTAAACAAACGGGAAAACATTGAACACATTAAAAATAGACAGAGGGTACTTTCTGAATACCCAGCCATAAACAGGGGAAATCCACAGGTCACGGGACAGTCTAACATTTCAGGGGGTGGTAGATTAAGTGTATAGTTCTAGTAATTTTGCATTTCATTTGCAGTGCAGTTTTGTGATGTGCAGTTTTCAATTTTGTATGTTTCTGTTGTGTCGGCTGTGCAGTTTTTAGCTGTGGATTTTGGGGGGGGGGGGGGTGTGTTGTGGACTCTATGTGCAAGCGGGAGGACGCAGTTGTTATTTTTTTGAGGAAGCATTTTTTTCAGGAGGTTTGTGTGTGTGTGTGTGTGTGTGTGGGGGGGGGGGGGTTGGAAGGGATGCTGTTTTACAATTTATTTGGCTGCAAACCTCCCGCAAATAGTTGCTCCATTCTACAGTTGTATTCGGCGACATGCTCAGCTGTACTTGGCAAAACTGAATGCTTGTCATCTCGTGAGGCCAGTAGTACAGAAACAGAATGATCTGTCTGTAAGGAAGGCAGGCACCACCATCCAGCCTTGTTCCTTGCCTTAGAAGAATGTAAAGAATTTCCACACCGCCATCGGTCACTCATTTGTGGAATTTCTACTATATAAAAGAGCTATCTTAGTGTCCCATGCTGGGCGTACTCATATTTGTACATCTGCTTTCTTTGCAACACAACTGGTTTCTGTATGCTTGAATGTTGAATTCTGAATGAAGAACTGACATCACAACACTTGGGACACTCCGTCCCCATCTTCAGCAGCAAGCGAAGAGTTCCAGTTCGGATGGTATAAGTAACCGTCTGATTGTACATCCTTCTCACCTTTCTCCTGAGTGTTGAGCGTCAGCCAGATCTTCTGGTAACTCCTCGCAGCGTCATTCTCCTCAGACCATAATGATCTGTTTGTGCCTCTGCACTGTTCACTCGCTCCTAAAGGGCCCTCATAACATTTAGCTTATCATACATCAGCTGATTACCAAATGGTGCAGAGCCGGTCAGTCTATCTGCCTGCTCATTTCCCAACACACCTGTATAACCTGCTGAAATATCCAAAATGATGCTCACTACCCTAAACTTCTGAAGGGCTGCTTGCCACTCTGCACGGATCATGCCTGTCTACACCTGTTTGCCCTCACTGAATTCCAATTTACAACAGGTGGTTAATCATTGCTGAATCCTGTGTTTCAAAATTTCTGGAACGCAAGCACATTCAGTACATCTGCCTTGTCCGCACTTCTACCTCCACTTACCACTGCTCTTTTATTTCCCTTTTCCCAGCGTCCAACCCAACATCCACCTCAGGGTCCACCCCAACATCCACCTCAGGGTCCACCCCAATATCTATCTCAGGGTCCACCCCAACATCTATCTCAGTGTCTACCCCAACATCTATCTCAGGGTCCACCCCAACATCTATCTCAGGGTCTACCCCAACATCCACCCAGGGTCCACCCCAACATCTATCTTAGGGTCCACCCCAGCATCCACCACAGGGTCCACCCCAACATCTATCTCAGGGTCCACCCGCAGCTTTAACCCCAACTTATATAACATGGCCTAAACTATGTTGAATGTTGAATTAAAAATGGACATCACAGCACTCTGGACTTCCCATAAGCGGCCTGTCCCCATCTTCAGCAGCAAGCACAGAGTTCTCATTCCAGTGGCACTGATAACGGTCTGACTGCGCACTTGAGTGCTGTGCATCGGCCAGATCCTCTGCTCACTCCTAGCTGCGCCATTCTCCGCAGACCATAAAGATCTATTTCTGCCTCTACACTGCTCAGTTGCTTCCAAAGGACCTTTACAACTTCTAGCTTGCCATGCATCAAGTCACTACCAAGCGGTGCAGAACCAGCCAGTCCATCTGCCTCTTCATTTCCCAACACACTGGCAGTGGAGATCCAAGGGGCGCTACCCGGGAGCTCTGAATCAATGCTTGCTACTTTGCACACAGCACAGATGTCTCCACCTTCTTCAACATGCTCTGTGAGTGGGTTACAATTATGACGTGAGTGCAGCTGGTTTCACAGCCTAGAACATGTAAAGCTCTAAGACTTCACACCTTAACAGCAGTCCTACAGCACCACTTTTATCTTCATCAATCAACACCACAAAGAAAACATTAATCTCACAAGTTTTTATGATCTTACCAAGATGCTGTTGCCAATATTTTGGAGTTAGGACTGAAGGAACAATATGATATCGGCCGGCTATCTCCGATCTGACTGCAGTCATTTGTGATTGACTGAGGAAATGAAAAAAAAAAAAAAAAAAACCATTTTTGTAAATGTTTTCTAAAATCCATTTCTACTGTGACTATGAATGAGCTGCTACCTTTCTGTGTGACAGGGTTTTACTGTGTGATAGAGAGGTGCAGGAATCAAGGCCCATGGCGATGGCAAATGTGACTGGCAAGACCTGCTTAAATTAAGAAAAGTCTTCCACTTTTAAGTACTGTCTAGAGCACTGGATTTCAAGATTGTTGTTGTTCTTCTTCTTCACATCCACTGGCTGTAAACTCTGGCTGAAAGTTCTGGTTGTTTGTCCACCTCTGGACTCTAGTTTTATTCCAGAACTTGAGTGGTGCATGCACATCTGTTTTACAGATCTGGCTTATTTGCAAGCAGACTGTTGGCCCCTTGCCTCTCAGGCGGATGCACTCTGACTTCAAAGCATGACCCCAATCAGTCCACTCCTACAACATGCTTGGTGGGGAGGTAGTAGATCTATTCTTGTTTTCCCCAAAAACGAGGCCACAGAATACAAGCTGTGAACAACCTGATTAAAAGCACACATGTTTTTTATTCAGACTCTCTGCTCCTTCCTCTGTGAATCAGTCTCTCTAGGTATGGATACTCTCTGCTCCTTCCACTGTGAATCAGTCTCTCTAGGTATGGATACTCTCTGCTCCTTCCTCTGTGAATCAGTCTCTCTAGGTATGGATACTCTCTGCTGGTAATCTGAGTTTAGGTTTTAGAGCAAACGGGTCACTTCTTAGTTGCTCCGCTCCTGTTCTAATAAAAAACCTACAGAATGTCCATCACTGTCTAGTGTGTAAAACAACTGACACATATCCACTAGCATACACAGGCATAAAAAGTTTAAGGCAGCTATCAGAGGTGCTAACACAAAAAGTCTGACATTAGAAATGCAGTTTATCACTGACGGAAGTAGCAGATAAAAAACAGTGCACTGATCCGTGATTCTAGTAATCGTGTCAGATGGTGAAATATGACACTAAATTTGAAGTTTGTAAAGTTAATCAGAGATGAATATGTTACCTTTGATATTGACCCTGTATTCAATGGGGTGTTACTGCGGATTAATATCTTATTTTCAAAGCATGACCCCAATCACCAATCAGTCCACTTTTACAACATGCTTGGTGGGGAGGTAGTAGATCTATTCTTGTTTTCCCAAAAAACGAGGCCTCAGAATACAAGCTAAGAACAACCTGATTAAAAGTACACATGTTTTTTATTCAGACTCTCGGCTCCTTCCACTGTGAATCAGTCTCTCTAGGTATGGATACTCTCTGCTCCTTCCACTGTGAATCAGTCTCTCTAGGTATGGATACTCTCTGCTCCTTCCACTGTGAATCAGTCTCTCTAGGTATGGATACTCTCTGCTCCTTCCACTGTGAATCAGTCTCTCTAGGTATGGATACTCTCTGCTCCTTCCACTGTGAATCAGTCTCTCTAGGTATGGATACTCTCTGCTGGTAATCTGAGTTTAGGTTTTAGAGCAAACGGGTCACTTCTTAGTTGCTCCGCTCCTGTTCTAATAAAAAACCTACAGAATGTCCATCACTGTCTAGTGTGTAAAACAACTGACACATATCCACTAGCATACACAGGCATAAAAAGTTTAAGGCAGCTATCAGAGGTGCTAACACAAAAAGTCTGACATTAGAAATGCAGTTTATCACTGACGGAAGTAGCAGATAAAAAACAGTGCACTGATCCGTGATTCTAGTAATCGTGTCAGATGGTGAAATATGACACTAAATTTGAAGTTTGTAAAGTTAATCAGAGATGAATATGTTACCTTTGATATTGACCCTGTATTCAATGGGGTGTTACTGCGGATTAATATCTTATTTTCAAAGCATGACCCCAATCACCAATCAGTCCACTTTTACAACATGCTTGGTGGGGAGGTAGTAGATCTATTCTTGTTTTCCCAAAAAACGAGGCCTCAGAATACAAGCTAAGAACAACCTGATTAAAAGTACACATGTTTTTTATTCAGACTCTCGGCTCCTTCCACTGTGAATCAGTCTCTCTAGGTATGGATACTCTCTGCTCCTTCCACTGTGAATCAGTCTCTCTAGGTATGGATACTCTCTGCTCCTTCCACTGTGAATCAGTCTCTCTAGGTATGGATACTCTCTGCTCCTTCCACTGTGAATCAGTCTCTCTAGGTATGGATACTCTCTGCTCCTTCCACTGTGAATCAGTCTCTCTAGGTATGGATACTCTCTGCTGGTAATCTGAGTTTAGGTTTTAGAGCAAACGGGTCACTTCTTAGTTGCTCCGCTCCTGTTCTAATAAAAAACCTACAGAATGTCCATCACTGTCTAGTGTGTAAACAACTGACACATATCCACTAGCATACACAGGCATAAAAAGTTTAAGGCAGCTATCAGAGGTGCTAACACAAAAAGTCTGACATTAGAAATGCAGTTTATCACTGACGGAAGTAGCAGATAAAAAACAGTGCACTGATCCGTGATTCTAGTAATCGTGTCAGATGGTGAAATATGACACTAAATTTGAAGTTTGTAAAGTTAATCAGAGATGAATATGTTACCTTTGATATTGACCCTGTATTCAATGGGGTGTTACTGCGGATTAATATCTTATTTTCAAAGCATGACCCCAATCACCAATCAGTCCACTTCTACAACCTGTATTCAATGGGGTGTTACTGCGGATTAATATCTTATTTTCAAAGCATGACCCCAATCACCAATCAGTCCACTTCTACAACATGCTTGGTGGGGAGGTAGTAGATCTATTCTTGTTTTCCCAAAAAAACAAGGCCTCAGAATACAAGCTAAGAACAACCTGATTAAAAGTACACATGTTTTTTATTCAGACTCTCGGCTCCTTCCACTGTGAATCAGTCTCTCTAGGTATGGATACTCTCTGCTCCTTCCACTGTGAATCAGTCTCTCTAGGTATGGATACTCTCTGCTCCTTCCACTGTGAATCAGTCTCTCTAGGTATGGATACTCTCTGCTCCTTCCACTGTGAATCAGTCTCTCTAGGTATGGATACTCTCTGCTCCTTCCACTGTGAATCAGTCTCTCTAGGTATGGATACTCTCTGCTCCTTCCACTGTGAATCAGTCTCTCTCTAGGTGATCAGTGGATACTCTCTGCTCCTTCCTCTGTGAATCAGTCTCTCTAGGTATGGATACTCTCTGCTCCTTCCTCTGTGAATCAGTCTCTCTAGGTATGGATACTCTCTGCTCCTTCCACTGTGAATCAGTCTCTCTAGGTCTCTCTGCTCCTTCCACTGTGAATCAGTCTCTCTAGGTATGGATACTCTCTGCTCCTTCCACTGTGAATCAGTCTCTCTAGGTATGGATACTCTCTGCTCCTTCCACTGTGAATCAGTCTCTCTAGGTATGGATACTCTCTGCTCCTTCCACTGTGAATCAGTCTCTCTAGGTATGGATACTCTCTGCTCCTTCCACTGTGAATCAGTCTCTCTAGGTATGGATACTCTCTGCTCCTTCCACTGTGAATCAGTCTCTCTAGGTATGGATACTCTCTGCTCCTTCCACTGTGAATCAGTCTCTCTGGGTATGGATACTCTCTGCTCCTTCCACTGTGAATCAGTCTCTCTAGGTATGGATACTCTCTGCTGGTAATCTGAGTTTAGGTTTGATAGAAAACGGATCACCCCTTAGTTGCTCCGCTCCTGTTCTAATGAAAAACCTACAGAATGTCCATCACTGTCTAGAGTGTAAAACAACTGACACATATCCACTAGCATACACAGGCATTAAAAGTATAAGGCAGCCATCAGAGGTGCTAACACAAACAGTCTGACATTAGAAATGCAGTTCATCACTGACCGAAGTAGCAGCTAAAAAACAGTGCACTGATCTGTGATTCTAGTAATCGTGTCAGATGGCGAAACATGACACTAAATTTTAAGTTTGTAAAGTTAATCAGAGATGAATATGTTACCTTTGATATCGACCCTGTATTCAATGGGGTGTTACTGCGGATTAATATCTTATTTCAACTATTCTCTGGTCTTCTATAAAAATATCATGAACAATATCAAGGGAAATGAGAACTATAAGCAGACCGATTCGCTCCTATGAAAGTACACAGCAAGTCTTGCCAACCAAAAAATAGAGCTGGAAATTAAGGGCTACGGATTGATAGAATCTCTACGAAGATTACAAAGATTTAGCAACCACCTAGGGTTGCCAGATACTCCATTTTTGTCAGATTCCTCTGGGTTTCCCCCACCTGAAGTTTGTTCTTATAGATTCCGTTTAGTATGTTGATATGTAAATTTTATAGCCCAACAATATTGAAAAAAGTTGTTAAAAGAAAAAAATTGTCACTTTTTAAAATTTCAATTTTTTTAAATATCCGGCAACCTTTCAACCACTTGATTGGTTTCATTATAACACATATCAAGAAAAGAGCACTCTGAAAAAAAAACGTGTCACACTGATCTCCCCTACCCTGATACGTTTCTGCAAATTTTGTATTTTAGCATTTTTCTTCGTGACAGGAACTAGCTTCTCCTCCTTCTGTTTTTTAACTCTTTCTTTTGCTCTGAAAAAAAAAAAAAAAAAAAAAATGTATTGACAAAGAGAAAACAAGGACAGCCACCAGTACTGCATGAAGCACCAAACTCTACAACTCTAGTGATAAACCCCCCCCCCCCAATACCTGCACTCTAGCTTGCTATCGTATGTTTCTTCATAAGTCTGTGGGCCAATGTAGATATGATCTACGTTTCCTTCGCAGTCAGAGTAATTTGTCTAAGGCAAGGAAATCACAGTCTGCACACAAATGAGCACAATCTATAACATGGAGATGTGCAAAAAAAAAAAAAAAAAAAAAACTAAAGTCCAGGAGCAAGGTCAAAGTCAGGAAGTAAATAAACAAGCAGGACTTTCTGCTTATGTTTATGCCTGATGAATGCTAAGAAGATGTTTGTCCTTCTCTGAGTGTTGAGTGTCGGCCAGATCTCCTGCCCCCCCCCCCCACCAGCAATTCATGCTTCGTCATTATATACTCCCTCCCAAAGGGCCTTGACCACATCTAACTTGTCATGCCTCAATCCTAAAACAAACATACAACCCTCAGACAGCAAGCTTTTATCCTTTTAAAACAAGAAGCCCCCAAAAAAACTGCCGGTACCGGTTAGGCCTAACTCTGAAATAAATGTCACTTTTCCAACTTGTTTATAGTGATTTGTTTATGAGAGACACAGGAAATGCTATTGGCTATGTTTGCACCTGCTCAAATGTGTTGGAGGTCAGGATATGAATAAATCATCGATAGGATTTTGGCAAGTTTTCATGTGAGTTAGATAGTTTTTTCAAAAGTCAAGCTGACATTACAGTCTTTTATGAGCCTCAGTGGTGGAGGTGAAGGGGTCACAGCAGGAGTTCTCGATACATTTAGCCCTGATGTATTCTTAAGTCCTGGAGGATGTATTTCATTTAATGCTTCCCCTCGTTTATGTTTATTTATTACTCCTTTCCTATAGTTTCATATAATATGGAAAGGAAAAAAAATAGATAAATACATTACTAACAAATCTATTAGTAACCTGTGGCAAATTTTTTTTTTTGGGGGGGGGGGGTGGGGGGGGGGGGGGATTTCCCCCTAGAATTTTAACAGGGTCATGACCTTTTATTTGTAATTGTTCTCAGGGCAAATGAGTTAACCACTTCTTCACAGCAATTCTCTTATGTTAGAGACACAAATAATTGAAAAAAAAAAAAAAAAACCACCAAGAGAAACTATCTTACCTGGGAATGGAGTACTCAGCAATCCAGTACCTGGCATTCTTCAAAGACTGTGGACCTTCGTGGTACCAGGTAACATTGTCCTAGGACAAAATTTTTTTTTACAGCACATCAAATATTTTGAGGACTGGAATATTCTTTTATTATATATCTCGGATTACAATTTATAATGCTTCCCAGATTACAATTTATATTGCTTCCCAGATTACAACTATACTGCTTCTCAGATTACAACTTATATTGATTCTCAGATTACAATTTATATTGCTTCTCAGATTACAACTTATATGCCTTCTGAGATTACAGAAATCAGCTTACATTTCTTCTCAGAATACAGCTTACATTCCTTTCCAGATTACAACTTATATTGCTTCTCAGATTACAATTTATATTGCTTCTCAGATTACAACTTATATGCCTTCTGAGATTACAGAAATCAGCTTACATTTCTTCTCAGAATACAGCTTACATTCCTTCCCAGATTACAACTTATAATACTGCTTCCCAGATTACAATTTATATTGCTTCTCAGATTACAACTTATATTCCTTCCCAGATTAAAATTTATATTCCTTCTCAGAACACAACTTATATTCCTTCCCAGATTACAATTCATATTCCTTTTCAGATTACACCTTATATTCTATAATTGAAAAAAAAAAAAAGTATGTTACTGTTTCTGAATGACAAGACAAGAAGCTGTTACCAGAAGATTTTAGGGGGGAGTCTTAGCATCTTAGCAAGAATACAAGAAGAAAACAGTTCAGAGCATGGCCAAACTTTTATAATAAGTGTCCCATAAGTTTCCACACATAGAATGAATTACATTTTTTTTAATGAAAACTATTTTTATTTACATAATATGCTCGTAATGTTTTGAAAACACATTTCAATGCATGACCTCGACTGCTGAAGAACACGCATAAGCACAGCTGCAGCTAGGCTTTTAAAGGCATTGCAATACGTTTATTTTTCCTATGCATGGAAGCTTATGATCAGCATTTCACTTCCTACCTTTTTTTTTAAAAACTGACCAGTCACTCATCCCATTAGTGATTAATGATTAGAAAGGATTATAATCACAGCAATTGTCACAAATCTATCAGTTAGCCATTGGCCAACAACCCTGAAGATAATTTCACTGGTCAGCCATTCACTGGCTTCTTCTGCTTCGTTCACTCCAAGGTGTAATTGTACTGTGCTCTTTTACTGTGATATTTGCGCCTTCCGGCCAACACATCCGACTTGTGCAGGAATTTGTTGATTGGATTAGCCTTCCTGAGGCTGCCCTTTCACATACCTAGTTTTGCTGTATGTACCAGATTTCTCAATAAAGTAAAGTAAAAGTAAAGATCCTTTTCCATGCCTTTGGCACATCGGGCATATGGGAAGAGCTCCATATTTTTACAGACCAATTGGCACTAGTTGGGTAATGTGGTCAGCATTACGCTGGCCGTCTTTACTTTCCCAGGACCTCCATCCTGGTACCCATTTTAGGCTGAATCGACCTGCGACGCCCCATACCATGATGAAAATCCACGCAGCCAGCAGTGGGTGTCAATCGCGGTATGTTGGAATTAGGAGTCGGACTTGCAACACCTAAGCTATGGATGCTACAGATTTCTCAAAACAACTTGGAAAACAAACAGAAGAAATAGATACCTCGTCTTTCTTTTTCTGCTCTTTCTGCTTTTCTTCCTTTTTCTGCTTGATTGCAGTTTCGCCAAGCTCGGCAAGAAGTTTCCGCAATCGTTCTCGCCTCTCTGCAGGACCCTCACCAAACAAGCCTATAATAAAACCAAGGAATGGGTGAGCCATTCTGCACTTTTACATGCATGAATGAATGGATGTAACAACAATATCATTGTATAAATGAATGAATGAAATAAAAACAATGAAAGAAAGAATGAAACACACATTTATATGATTATTTCACATGAAGATGGTGTCAAGCACAGAGAGCTCTCCATAGCATAGTGAACTGATGTATGGCAAGCTAGACATTGTGAGGGCCATCTGGGAGCGAGTGAACAGTGAGGAAGTGCAAATAGATCACTACGGTCTGAGGAGAACAGCGTTCCGACGAGTTACCAGAGGATCTGGCCAATATTCAACACTCAAGGCAAGGGTGAGACGGATACATAACCAGACAGTTACTAGTGCCATCGGAATTGGAACTCTTTGTTTGCTGCTGAAGATGGGGACGGAGGGCTTATGGGGGCATCCTGAGAGCTATGATGTCGATTCTTAATTCAACATTTTTATATTATTATTTATACTCTATGTGATTGAAAGAAGAATTGATATCTCTGCGTATATAGATAAATGAATGAAACAAGAACTGACTTCACTGCATGAAGGAAATTTGCACATCGAAATTCCCATAATGAAGGTGCCAGGTGTGACCTGATTGACATTTTCTACCTGATCTGTAAGTTGTTAAAAAAAAATGATGGCACAACAGATTGATACTAATGAAGTTGAGGGGAAGAGAGGCAGACAGAGACCAAGAGAGATCGTGGACATTTGGCATCATGATACGGAAGAATGTTTTTACTGTATTCAAAATGGCTAACAGCACATAAGTTAGAAGGCTGTTGACAGGCATGATCACACCAAAGAATGCGAAATACTGCTTGTCCCCCCCCCCCCCAATAAGACTGGGTCTTATATTAATTTCTGCTTCAAAAAATGCATCAGGATTTATTTTCAGATTAAAAAAACCTACATTTATTCAAACAGTCATGTCATCTTCTTCTGTAACATCATCATAACTCTCCGGATCTCAAATTCTGGCTTGAAACTGTTCATTATCATATGTGCACCCGTGGCATCTGTACTCTGACTGGCCATGTGGCAACAAGTCTCTCAATCTAGCTGATCACTAGGACTTACTTTCTGGGCTTGAGCTTATTTTAAAGAGTGTTTTAAATTGTGGTGGCTTTATTTTTCTGGCAGGGCTTACATTAAAGATATCCTGAAAACTTGTGAGTACTAGTGTTGTACATGATATACCCTATAGTTCTGCCCATTTCATATTATTTGCACCTTGGTTACTAGTTTGGGTCTTTAGTTTGTATATGTGACACTTTCTCAATATCCACTACTACAAGGTTGTGGTTAGACAGTCTTAGCCAGTTAATGTTGTTCCACATAATTTAATTCCTTTTCCTTTATTATTCTTCTGCCTCACTTTTTTTTTCTCCCCTCACCGTCTCTGTCTTATCATATCTTTATTTATAGAGACATATATTTGTGTGTGCCCTGCAAATGAATTTATTTGTTTTTGTATGTTCTCAATGCTGCCAACATGTAAGCATACCTTGGATGTCAACGACTTGTTTAGTTTTGGAAAAAATTCTTGACTGACTGACTGATTGACTTTCCACCCCACCAGGACATCACACAAGTGATAAACACCCAATGACACAAAGTGCCACCATGTGAATGAGAATCGCCGTGGAGAGGTCCCAGAAACCGTGTTCAGACAAGTGGCCATATTTATGGCCTGCCTATATTGTGGCCCCTGGCAAAAGCCAGGGTGGGGCATCAAATATAAAAAAATTTTGTCCTAATAAGGATGAAAGGTCTGGTTTCTCTTCACAACGAACAAAAAATTCTTCCAGGGGTCCTGTTTATATAGGGTGCATGTTAGCAGAAAGTGGTCTACTGTATTTTCCTGAAAGCAATCTAAACATAAGGGTGCTGTAAATTTGGCTTTCCAGTATCCAAGTCTCAATCTCCATAGTTTGTTATTTGCTGGAATTTTTAGGAGAAACAGACTGTAAGTTCTGTGCGACATACACTGACATAAGAGGACAATGAATGAATGAATGAATACTTACAAATGGGTTCTCCTATTTGTCTCAGATTGGCCTTGACTTCAGAGTCGTCTGTGGAAACTTGGATTGTTCTTGCCTGTCAAAAAACAGCTTGTCATTATTAATCGGTCAATCAAAATAACAATACTACGGGGTGTTGGGGGATATAAAGTGAGAGAGTTGTTGAGTTGAGTCGAGTCGTTAGAATGCAGGAAGATCAAATACCACCACAAGCACTACATCTCAGAAGATCAGCTACAAGAGCAAGAGGACAGCCGGGGAAAACATGGATGGACAATATTAAAGACATGCTATGCCTTCACGGCATGACAATAGCCAGTGGCAGCCAACGTGCACTGGATCGCAAACTATTCCTCCCCGCGACGCTTAACGGCAGAAGTGGTTTATGATGATGATGATGGTATTAACTATGCCCTCCATAAACATGTCACTGTAGTCAAGCCAGTTAAGTTGCATTTAAGGGGAATTGGACCCTACAGGAAGTGCTGCATCTGAGGCTTCCTGGGGTAAAAGGGTTAAACTGGAAGATAATATCAAAAGATATAAAAGACAGGAGATGGTCACTGCTCAATGCAGCAGTGTATTTTCTGTTTAAGACTTAATGAGTTGGCACTCTGCAAACACTTAACTTTAAAACTGATTCGCTCTTTTCATCTAATCCAGTTTAAAATGCATACTGAGAAATAATCTAAGCAGTAAGGGCAGCCAGTGGGACCCTAAAACCATCTCCTACTGGGGTCTAGATATATGGGGCAATTGCGGTAAAGGGTCTGCTATTTACTCACCCGTTTTCGTTTCTCAAATTCAGCCAAAGCTTCTGCATGCATTGCAGACTCGCTGGCTTCAAGATCAAAGTGACCTCCTAGTAAAAGAAATTTATATTAAATTTGTTACATCCTGCAAACTCACAGAAAAAAATCATTAGAAATGTTAAGTTTGCAAACATTAACTTTTGCTATGAACTCCCATATACTTTGCCTGCCACTCAACATAGCTATGAGATGGTATCAAGTAAAAAGCATGCACTCTGTAGATTCAAATATACAATCAGACTGTTACTATCAAAACTGAAGCTCTGCGCTTGCCTCAGAAGATGTGGACAGACGGAGTGTTTAGGGGGAAGTTTCATTTACCACAAGCTCTGAAGGCTGTGGCTGGTCAAACCATTTACCTTAAGCTCTAAAGGCTGTGGTTGGTTAAACCATTTACCTCAAGCTCACAAGGCTGTGGCTGGTAAAACCATTTACCGTAAGCTCTGAAGGCTGTGGCTGGCTAAACCATTTACTTTAAGCTCTAAAGGCTGTGGCTGGCTAAACCCTTTATCTTAAGCTCTGAAGGCTGTGGCTCGCTAAACTATTTACCTCAAGCTCTAAAGGCTGTGGTTGGCTAAACCACTTACCTTAAGTTCTGAAGGCTGTGGCTGGTTAAACCATTTACCTTAAGCTCTGAAGGCTGTGGCTGGTTAAACCATTTACCTCAAGATCTGAAGGCTGTGGCTGGTTAAACTATTTACCTCAAGCTCTGAAGGCTGTGGCTGGTTAAACTATTTACCTCAAGCTCTGAAGGCTGTGGCTGGTTAAACTATTTACCTCAAGCTCTGAAGGCTGTGGCTGGTTAAATCATTTACCTTAATCTCTCAAGGTTGTGGCTGGTTAAACCTCTTGCTCTGAAGGCTGTGGCTTGTTAAACCAATTACCTTAAGCTCTCAAGGCTGTGGCTGGTTAAACTATTTACCTCTTGCTATGAAGGCTGTGGCTGGTTAAACCATTTACCTTAAGCTTTACTAAAGGCTGTGGCTTTATTTCACAGATGCCACCATTTGTCTCTATGAGTGCAATTTTTTTTTACAGAAATCTCTGGGACTTGTTATATCAGCTTCCAGGACCCCACAAAAAGGGGGGGGGGGGGGGGGGGGGGGGGGGGTGGGGGGGGGACAGAACAGAACCTCTTCCCCCACAAAAAAAATGGTTGCTGTAAAAAAAAAGACTATTTGATGAAATGCATAAGTTGATCTCCATTTCTTTCAACCCCAGTGTGGGTTAAAGGGCCCCCATTGTGTGTGTGTGTGTGTGGGGGGGGGGGGGAATAGACCCACTGCCTACCCGAAAGCATGTCGCAAAAGTCGACTAATTGGGGGCTTCATTCGAAGTCAGATTGCATCTGCCTGAGAAACAAGGAACCAACAGTCTGCATAAAAATAAGTCAGATCTGTAACGGATGTGCACCCAACAGTCAAGCTCAGAACAAAACTAAAATCTAGAGATGGACGATCAACCAGAACTTTCCGCCAGTGTTTCCAGTCAGTGAACACGCAGAAGAAGTTTCTTAAACTATTAAGCTCAACTCTCTCTCTCACTCACACACACACACGCACACATACATACACAATGAATAACAAGTTACCATCTGAGATGTTTATATGCCCAGCTTCCTTGCCAGCCTCAATGGAAAGCTTGACTGCTGCAATACTAGTCCTGTCTGCTCCCAGTCGCTGTTTCTCGGCATCTTCCAGGCTCCCAAAGTGAAGGACCTTCTGGCGTTTGGTAAAAGTTGGGCCATCTTCGTCATCTGACATGTTAGCAGCTGAGGTGAGAAACTGAAAACAAACAAGGCAACATCAAGATTTGGGCATCATCTGCAGCTGTAGATGTGGGAGTCTGTGGCATCAACAACAGACAAGACAAGCTCTGGGGTCAGCCACTGTACTAAAATGGGGGAGGGGGGGGGGGGGTAAGGGTGGAGTTGTGTGTGGTAAAGGGGATATATGGGCTGTTTATGTGGTGTATGTGTGTGTGTAGGTCACAAATGGAGAATGAAGGTTGACAGAGTCCATAAGGTCATCCTCAAGGATGAATTAATGATGGGTAGAAGATGATGAGGCCGACCTCTAGTACAATATAAAGATGTGTGCAAGTGGGACATGAATGATACATGTAGTGAGGCGGAATACTGGGAACACGTGTTGTGTGGAAGGGGGCACATTAGGAAGGGAATGAGAATGAAGGAAAAAGTGATTGCAGAAAGGATGAGAGTAGAGCGTCTAAGAAGAAACACACTACACACAAATGCTGATAAACAGTGGTCCTAAAATCATATGCTATAACTGTGGAAGATTTTTCCTAACGTGGGCGGGTCTTGCTTCTGATAGGGACAAGACGACTTGGTGATTTGCAGAAGGTACTGTGAGATAAGAAGTCGTCACGGCAGCCTAATTAGAACAGTCAGCATACCTGGACGACCGAGCGACAAGCTTACGTTTGGTTTACCGGACACATGTTGGACTTTTGTTAGCAGGTGGCAGAGAAACACTGGCAGACAATTCGGACATGATGGACTTTCAAAGGGTGAGAAACCCTTTTCCACTAGAAACCTGGACCAGCTCACCAAGGCCCGTCCCCTACGTTGTTTTGTTGCGTTCAAAGCCAACTCGAGGCCCTTTCGGCTGCCTCGCCCAGTTTTTTAAGTGTTCGTTTCCGTTCATTACCGCGCAATCCTAGTTCTTTAACCACATTGTACAATGAAGTGGAGACGAGACCTCTCGCTCCCACTTCGACGGCAAAGGCACGTACTGTGTACGCCTCGTTTTTCCTCAGACCGGCTGCTAAGTCACAATATTTCTCGAGCTTATATGTGTGACTATCGTCCATACGCGACTCATACGGGACGGTCAACTGCCGTTTCTCCGCAGAGTGGAGAACTATGTCAGGTCGCAGGCCGGTCTTCCGGATTAACTCGGGGTACCTTTCATGGCCCGGCAGATCAACCGCCAGTAACCAGTCGCTCGCACAGATGGAGCGAATGCGTTTCGGTTGACCTTAACTTCTGGAACCTGCCCAGCCTTGAGGAAACGAATGGGGACGATGCTAGAACTGGCTCTGGCGTTAGCCCTCATTCTAGCCTGGTCGACAACGGCTGCTAACTCTTTTAGCACCTTGTTGTGTCGCCAGGTATATCGGCCTTGGCATAGGGCTTTCCTGCACACGGACAGGACGTGCTCAAGAGTCTGCTTCGCTTTGCACAACGGGCAAGTCGGATCGTTAGTCGCAGACCACTTAACCATATTAACACTGGACGGTAATACATAATACGTAAACGAACGATAAAGCTCAGTCGCAGCGGGGTCATTCGCCAGATCTCACCCCATGTGAGTATTCTTGGCAATGCGCTCTCCAGGCTGACCCAATGGCCCTGCTGCGACTGCTGGGCTGCTTTCTGGACCCGAACCTCGTTTTCGTTGTCCCTCACCATTTGTATTACCATGTCTCGGCGTTCTTTGGCTGAGGCCTTTGACCACCAATTGACCTTCCCGTGCCCTAGGCCTCGACGGTCGGTTTGAGTGTATCCCATTATCTCCTTCAATTTTAGTGTGTTCTGCGCAGATTCAATCGCATCGAGGACCCTCCACTTCTGCCCAGTCTTTAGAGCGGGCTGGACAGCGATGACATTTGGGTCTGAAGACTAGCGCAAGAGCATGGCGAGTCTTACCTTGCCAACTTTAAACTCTTCGGTTATTGATTTGAACGGGAGTACTAGCTTTGCCTGCTTACAATACAGAGCCACGTCGGTCAGACAAGGCGGTGCACCAATCCACTTTCTCAAGGCTGTGTTGATTTTCCTCTCCATGGTTTCCAATGCAGTCACCGTCACCCCGTAGACTAACAGTGGCCATAGGAGCTTCGGAATCAACATGAATTGGAGACACCATACCTTGAACTTCCCGATCAGCCTGCACCGCTCGATCGCGAGCAGGCCTGTAGCCAGTAACTTGTGTATTCGCCGGACTTCCGCTCTATCAGATAACTTCGAATCGTAGACACGACCTAGGCTCTTCACCGGTTCATCCAGAACAGTGGGGATCTTGTTCCATGCCACTGTAAAACTGGTTGCCGCCACTCGACCCTTAAGGATAGACTGACTCCTCGACTTCTGCGGTTTGAACTGCATACCGCTCCATTGGACCACCGCGTCCAATCTTCCCAGGATCGTGCGGGCAGACTCCTCGCTGCCCGTTATAATAGTCGTGTCATCCATAAAGGCACGCAGTGGAGGCATCTAGTGATCCCCTATTTGAAGGCCCAGTCCGTAGCCGCCCGCCCCGTCTAATAAGATCTGCATTGCCATGACAAACAGTATTGGTGAGATCGTAAACCCCATAGCTATCCCAATCTGCAGCTCAGTACGGGACAGGACCGAAGAGGACACAGTCACGTCTGAACAAAGCTAGAGCTGCTTTTGGAAGGATGAGGCAAATCTGGAAATCCAACAATTACTACAGAGGAACGAAACTCCGACTCTACAAGAGCATCATTTTGCCAGTTCTTCTTTATGGAGCGGAATGCTGGAGAATGACCAAAAAGGATGCACAAAAGCTGTCCACCTTCCACCACACATGTCTATGTAGAATTATCAAAATTTTCTGACTAGATACAATCTCAAACACTAAACTACTTCAAGCCACAAACCAAGAAACTTTAGACAGTTTGATTACCAAGAGAAGATGGAAATGGCTTGGTCACGTTATGAAAATGACTTCTGATATACCTGCCAAAACAACTCTCACATGGACACCAGAGGGAAAGAGAAAACAGGAGCGCCCAAAATTAACATGCAGACGAACGATGGAAAGTGACCTGAGTGCGGCATCTTTGACTTGAAAAACTGCACTGAAGATTGCACAGGACAGGAACGCATGGAAAGTCCTCTCTGAAGCCTCATGTACCACTAGGCATAACGAGAACTGATGATGATGATGATATAGAATACTGAAATACAGTGGTAGCTCGTCTCATGAACAAACTGGCCAATGAACAACATTTTTGAACAAATTTTGATGCGACCCATGAACAATGCCTCGGCACACAAACACATAAGCATGGCTTTAACCCCATAATTTTGGCTAATGGACAGCATCAGCTCTACTCAGGTTTGCATGCTGTGAACACTTTTTTGATTTATTTGTGTATGTGTGTGTGCTTTCTGCAGTAAATTAACACTCATTACGGCTCCTAAGAAAGTGAAAAGAGTTGGTGACAGTGGTGTCAAGTGGTCTGAGCGTATTACAGTAAAAACAAAGAGGGAAACAATGACTAAATATGGCTAAATAAACTCCTGTTTGAGCAGTTATTATAAATTCTTTGTAACTGACTTCTTTTTTTATTCTGTTCCTGGAATGCCTCACAGTGTCGGGGCAAGAGAGATCCCTGGTATGGGCCCTTCTGTTTGCTTCATATGTAGTACTTTTCAGTAACGCCAATATTTCCACGATCCATTTCTATGTGGTCGATCGCTGGCTCTGTTAAAGATGTATGTTAATAACATTGCTCTTAGGTACAGTTCCTTTCATACTTCTAGTCGATTTTTGACAACTCTTCATGTTTCTCTATTTCTTCTTCTTCTGCGATCCTTCTGTCAGAAAACTTATATCAGGAGGCCGGTAGCCTTTATGAAAGTTATCATGCGGTCCATATCTTCTTATGTACCATTAAGTAGTATTGTCTACTTTGTGGTTGGAATAGGCCAGATTGCGTCTCTGTTGTCAGCATACAGTTGACAGTGTTGGAACCCTTGCTCAGCATTTTCAGGAGCTAAGTTGCAGGGGCACGTCTCTGTGTTTATTACACTGAAAAGTCTGAACATATGTTGACAATGTCTGTTGTGTCCTTATTCTGAAGATAATATACTGTGCATCTCTAGAGAGGCGATGAAGCAAATCTTGAGGAGAAAATCTGGTGTATGTATCTAGCTACCTTTCTTAGATACTAGATTGTATGAATGTCTTAGTCTCTTGGTGAGTCAAGTCACTATTTGGTTGTACCATGTCACTGCCGCTTCTAGCTAATCTGTCCGCTATTTCATTTTTTTTTGGAGATGACAAGGCTGAAATATCGGCCCAACACAAAGTAGCCAAAAGGACGACTGGCCCGATCGGTCGGCCCTATATAATAGAAGCCTTCATATTGGCTGGCAGGTTTTCATACCAGCCAATCAGGCTGCTTCTCACATTTCTTGCACATGTAGGCTGTTCATTGGCAGCTTTCGAGAAAGTCTGATGTGTTCTGTAATTTTAAATAAAATTTTTTTCTGCAGTTACCTGTGCCAAAAATGGCGAAAGAGACTGTTGCGTCATAACAACCAAAACATAGCTGGAGGCAGGAAAATGACTAGAACCATGTGCCAGAAGGGCTTCCAAGGGCCTTACTTCCTAAAATACAGGTGTTAGGACTTCTTCAAGCTTCATCCATAAAAAAACTCACCAAAAATTTTCAGGTTAGTTATGTCTGTTTGTAGTTCTTAAAAAATTGCTTGCATAAATTAAGCAAATCAGAACAGCTAATGTGAATAAATGTTGAGATTTAAGTTTGATTCATAAATATTCTGTTAGTTCATTCAATTTCCTACACAAATATATATAGTTTTGTATATGTTAATTAAATGCTTTATTTTTTGTAATTTTTGTGTGTTTAAACTATGAGAAACCCCACCTGAAGGCTCCGTCTTCTTAGCACTCCAAAAAGGCTCTGTCTCCAAAAGATTAAACCATTCTGCCATTCTGTGTATATTACTCCTCCTCCGTCT